TGTTGAGGAGGGTGATGTCTTCTGCTCTAACGTCCTTGATTCCGCCTGACATCTCACTTCCAAGGGCAATTCCGGCACTTCTCGGCGAAATGCAGGTGAGTCTCCGGATGAGGAGATGCTGAGTTGGCATGTTGAATCGGATTCCGTACTGGTCAATACCACTTTTCACAGCGACGCAGTCATCGCTGGAGACGATGAAGGAGTCTTGGATTAATGTGTTTGTGCAAGAATCTGCCCAAAATGAAAAAAAGAAAAACAATAATCAAAATTAAACAAAAAGAGTCTTGGATTATGTTGTTTAATTATGTGTTGAATGGAGTGAAAAGAGTAAATAAAAACAATTCGTTACCTGGGTTTATTCCATCTGTGTTTTCAGAATCAAATGGTGCGAGGATTGTGATGTCTTGGATAATTATGTTTCTGCAGAATTTGAGAGATTAATAGAGATCAAATAATAAGATTTATTGATTAAGCGCATTTGATTGCATGCATGATTTGAATAAGTATTTGAAGGATGTTCCAAAAAAATAAAAAATAAAAACTTTCAAACTGCAAAATATTAATTATTATATTAAAAATATTATTATATTGTTATGATTATTATAAAAAAAAAAAGGGTATTCGAAGGGATCAAAACCTGCTGTATGTGGGATGGACGTTCCATGAAGGAGAGTTAATCAATGTGAGATTTGATAACTGGATTTGATCAGAGAACACGATCTCGATCAGGCATGGTCTAGTGTACTCCATTTTACCATCTTTGAATTTCTTCCACCAAGGCTCACCTTGCCCATTAATTGTGCCGTTGTTACCTTCATGCAAATTAATTGCCCATTAATTGTGCCAAATTTCACAATTGAAAATCCAATTAATTAACATAACATGTATCCGTAGTTTAGTGCTGAAAATAAAGCTTTGAAGTTTAAATAACATATAATAATATGTGGTTGAACTGAATCAAAAAATAAAAAAATTTATTTTTTATTATATATATTTTTATGTTGGTTGCATGATAAAAAATAACTTGTTCTCATTTCCTACTCTATTCTACCTTCATACTATAATGTTTAAATTCAAATTTTCTTTTTCAAAAAAAAAATCATTAAATTATTTAGATAATTAACTTTTATTTTGTAATTTAAAATAATATATATAGTACCTTTCCTAACGGGTATAGCACTATACAAAAATCAACAAACACAGAGACTAAATTTATGAAATGATTCGAAAATAAAATCCTTAATTACCTGTTATCACGACATCAGTGAGGTTTGCTCCGTAAATGAGACTACCGTACCTTCCGGCACTTCCTTCTCCATAAGAAGGCAATGGAGGCAAAACAGGCCATTCTGATTCATCCTGTCCATTAATAAAAACAAATGGAACTATTTTTTTTTAGAGATTTTAGATATTTAAATCCTGTCTCCTGTTTAATTTAAATACTGTTATCCACTGTTTAATAAACGGAACTTCATTTATATGAATAAAAAAAATAATTATGAAAAATAATTTAAGGATAATTTTTTTGTATTATTTTTTATATAATTTTATTTGTTATTTAAATAATTAAATTTTTATTCATTTATGACCCATGATATTAAATATATCTATTTATTTAATTATACATAAAAATTATCCCTATATCAACCCCAATCAAAATATATATTTTAAAAAACGGTTACAAGTTTAATATTTTATTTGTAAATTAATTGAATATATTTAATTAATTTATTAATTATATAAAATTTGATATAATTAAATATATATTAAAATATAATTTTTTTAATAAAATAATTATATATAGATTATAAATCAACATAAAAGTTCATATGTATAATATATATCAATACATAAAATATTAAATAAATACTTATTAACGAACTTTTTTAAAAAATGTTCATTAAAATTGGTTAAATTAAGGAGACCTTGAGTTTCATTTTCTTCAATTATTATTGTGCATTACAAAAGCCAAAAAAAGTTGAAAACTATTACCTGAGACGCAAGAATAACAGCGTCCCTGTGGATGAAAAGAGTGAAATGGCTGGTGAGATTAAAGCTCCCCGTCAGCCACTTCCCCGGCGGAACAATCAGCTGCGCTCCGCCATCCTTCGCCTTCTCGCTCAGCTTAGCAATCGCGTCGTTAAACACCTTCGTATTGGACGTCTTCCCGTCTCCAACCCCTCCGAAATCCGTCAAAACCGCACTGTGCTTCCGGCAATTCAACGCCGGAAAATCGAGAGCATCCTGAAGCTGCTGATGACATGGCCGGCAATCCACCACAGTCAAACACAATAATCCCAATAAAACCACCGCTACAATCGCCTACAACAAAAATGGAAAATTTTCAATCATCTGTTTTATTTTTTAAAAAAAATCTTTTCAATTCATCCTAAAATGAATAGGAAAAATCTTCCCAAAGGAGGAGAAATTACATGGGATTTTCTGGAGGAATCCATTGAATGAATTGAGAAATGCAGCAAAAGCAGCAGGTATTTATAGGAGGAAGGATTTTGTGAAACAGAGGATAAGGAAATAATAATCGTAACTTTTAACATTTAATTTTTACAAAAGTTAAAAAGATCAATCTTATTTTTATCATCAATTTTATATGCATATTTTAAATTAAATAATTCATAAAATTAGAAAATTTTAATAAATTTTAATATAAATTAATAATAAATGTATATAACAAATATATTCTTAATTTATGTTATTAAGTATAGTCATACAATTAAAAAAACCATTCAATTAAAAAAGGGAAAAAATCCATTTGAATTAAGGTTAATTAAGTAACAAGTGTAGAGGAAGGAGAAGGTATTTATGGGAAGAAATCCAATTCGGATTGGAGGGTTTTATGTGCCAATGAGGCTTCCACTCAACTTCTTAAAAAATTGGCTTAACCCTTGATTCACCCTCTAACTTATTGTTTTTGAAGGTTTTAGCCCCCAACATACAAAATGTGTTATTTGATCCCTAAATTACATGTCTTTTGTACAATTGAACCAAAATCGATAGGAGTCAGTCACTGGCCCATGAACCCCTCCCTACTCAGTACCTCGTTAGCACCACCTTGGAGGAATATTTTTTTAGACTGTGTTGTAAAAATATTTAATTATCTTAATTAAATAAATTTTATTAATTATTATTTAAATTTCTTAAATTAATTTACATAAAATTTAAAGATTAGGACAAGTTAAAAAAATCTAAATGGAGTATTAATTATGAGAGTTTCTTTAGGGTCAGTGTGATTTTTTCTTGCCTTGCCTTTTGTTCTAATTTATTTCTAAATTTTTTTCCACTTTTTCCTTTTGCATTTACAACTTTAAACAACAATGATCAAAATTGGGACTCATTTAAGTGGCGTGTGCTGAACAACCTCTTTTTTTTTTTTTTTTGAGCACGGACAATTTGAGCGAGAGAAAAGGAGAATGGGTGGAGTTTGAACCTTATACCTTGAAGTAAAATATCATTTAACAATATTTAGGTGGTCACTTTGACCACTTGAGCTTCTCGAACAGCCTCTATTGGTTCAAGCTGTACCATTTTCTTCTAGGGTGGCGATGATGAGGCACTGAATGGGGCTGGGTCAACAAATTAGAAACAATCACATGATTCACGCCGTTAATTTTGAGCCAATAGTCCAAAATGACATGTAGTTTAAGGGTCAAATAACACACATTATATGTTGGAAGACTAAACTCTCACATACAACTAGTTGGAGGCTTTGATGGGTTAAACCTTATACGGGTAAATACGAGTCTACCATTTTATTGTAATTTTTTCTGTGAGTTAGCATACATAGATGATTCTAGCCACCAGCGCTGCTAAATTAGCAACAAAGATTCAAATAAATTAATGCCCATCACGGCATCACTCCAACCCCCTTCTACTTAGAGAACAAGTTTTCAACTTGACTTCTTCAATCGGCAGCTTGTCTTCGGGGAACGGACAATCAATCTCTTTCTTGCTCTCCGGCAATGCACTGCACGCAGGAGGAGTGACTCTGCTCGTAACTCCGGCAACATTAGTGCAGTTCCATTGCAACTCTTTTGGATTCTCCGTCAATGAAATGTTCACATTAGAAATGCAAATGCCCGTAAATGGATCATTCTCAATCCCATCCAGCCTCGCCGAATACGTTACATTTTCCGCCACCATGTCTCTGTAATTTATGTTTGTGATTTCCGGTAATGCCTTTGGATCCCAGCCAGGGTCGGGATGTTGGCCGTAGTCTCCGGTCATCCAGAACACGTACTTCATGGTC